AGTGATATTTTACCTCCTGCTTTTAAGAAAGCACATGAGCAATTTGAATTATTCAATAAGATTGATAGCAATATTGATCCACATTTATATTTTGTCACCTTATATCAACTCCCATGGATTATGAAATGGGAATACTCTGTGACTTCTAATAATACAGCCGATTATACCTATATCCCTCGCTTGGAAAAAACCATCTCTGTAAAGTGGTGGGATATTTTCAACATGGATCCCAATACTATTGTACCCAAAAAAATACCACCAGAGAAACCTATTTATAATCCCAATCCTACTACTTATAATACTGCTACCGCCAACACTTCATTTGACTTCCGTACATATCTCAAAAATATGCTCCAAACCAATCCCCATGCCACCAAAGAAACTCTTGAACAACAAATGCGAGAAATATTTGCTAAAGCAGGCCGCAACCCAGTTTCTTCAAATGAAACAGTTCAATCATCTCCCAACCGTGCCAATCGATATTTTCCGTTGGAAGAAATAGACCCGGATGAAGAAGATGAAGAAGAAGACCCCAATGAGTTCAGCCAAAAACCATAAGAATACTATGAAGTCATATTAATGGAAACAGGGTCCATCTCTGCGGTCCATTATTATCAACAAAATACAAGAGTTATTGCATACTCTAAAATGCAAATAAAAAAGATTTTATCCTATGAGGAGTGGGGTTGCAACCCCACCCAAGGGAAAAAATTAGATAATTCAGACTTTTCCTATAAATATTATAAGTATGCAGAGTATATTGAGGCATGGCATAAAACATTTTCCTATCAAAATCCAAATAATACTCGTAGTTGGTACATCCAATTCCGGATGCTTATATTTGAACGTTTCCCTAGTTGGTTCAAAAACTGGTTTCTTATATGGGGTTCTAAAAGTGATATTTTACCTCTTGCTTTTAAGAAAGCACATGAGCAATTTGAATTATTCAATAAGATTGATAGCAATATTGATCCACATTTATATTTTATCACCTTATATCAACTCCCATGGATTATGAAATGGGAATACTAGGTTACTTTTAATAATACAGCCGATTATACCTATATCCCTCGCTTGGGAAAAACCATCTCTGTAAAGTGGTGGGATATTTTCAACATGGATCCCAATACTATTGTACCCAAAAGAATACCACCAGAGAAACCTATTTATAATCCCAATCCTACTACTTATAATACTTCTACCACCAACACTTCATTTGACTTCCGTACATATCTCAGAAATATGCTCCAAACCAATCCCCATGCCACCAAAGAAACTCTTGAACAACAAATGCGAGAAATATTTGCTGAAGCAGGCCGCAACCCAGTTTCTTCAGATGAAACAGTTCAATCATCTCCCAAACGTGCCATATATATACATATACATATATATATATATATATGGAAGAATCTACGAAACGCCTATAGGCAAAAATGAACGGTGTTTTCGCATATACGCTCATTACTGTCCGAAAAATTTGCGTGGTGTTGATAAAACGAGCAAGTCCGTGGCGGTACCATCACGAACATGCTAGGTCTGTGACGGTCAAAAAATTACACGGAAGCGACACGGACGTTACGCCATCCGTTGCAGGTCCGTTCAATAAATCGCCACAAACATAGCAAGTCCGTGGCAGGGCAAAAACACTATTCATTTTCTCCTATAGGCGTTTTTAGTGTTTTCTTATATATATCTATATATATATATATATATATAAATATATATATATATAGGAAAAGTCTTCCCAACGCCTATAGGTGAAAATGAACAGTGATTTCACCTACCCTCATCACCATCCAAAGTTCATCGCACGGTCACACTTGTCTGGTAGTATTTCATTTTTCATTTTTTTTCTACAAATCGGAATGACCTAAAATTTAAAGCGTATGTACATCTTAGTGAAGTGCACTTAATAAAAATATAAAAAAAATATAATTTGAAAAACAATGTTGACCAAAATACCCCTGAAACTTTCTGGAGGTATTTTGGTCAATTTTTTCCTGTAAAATATGTTTTTATATTTTTTTGTAGATTCACCTATTTTTGATGAACACATCCTTCAAATTTTAGGTCATTCCGATTTGCAGAAAAAAAATGAAAAATAAAACACTATCGGACAATCGTGACCGTACGATGAACTTTAGATGGTGAAGAGGATCGGCGAAATCACTATTCATTTTATCCTATAGGCGTTTTGTAGTATCTTCAATATATATATATATATATATATGTATGTATGTTAGGGTACTCCTACACATGCTGTATTTTCCTAATGTACTCAATATTTTTTGATATTTATTACCTTTGCTTTGTAATAAAATATTTTTCAAGCAAAGGCATTTTCTGTCATTAAGAGGGATACAATAGATATTTTTATGAGAAACTAGTTGTAATTAATGTGGCATGTGGGTGATATCACACCGCATGTGGAGGATGTCACTCTCCGCTATAATCAATAAATGTGTTTCATTTTATAAAGAATTTATATTGTCTTTGACTAATTACCTAAAACACCCCTAAATAATAAAGTGACCACATTGTAGAGTAAGGGTGTATTAAGTGTCAAAAAATATTGAGTACACTAAAGAAATACTCCATATGCAGGAGTACGCTAACACATATCTATATTCAATATTTTGGGTCAATAATCTAGGAGAATGAAGCGATTGAAGATGATGTTACGCATAGAATTAGAACTGGGTGGGCGAAGTGGAGATATGCATTTGGAGTTTTATGTGATCGCCGCATACCAATGAAACTAAATAGGAAGTTATATAAGATGACTGTAAGACTAGTCATGCTTGATAGAATGTTGGGTAATCAAGAAATAATACATTCATAGGATGAGTGTAGCTGAGATGGGGATGCTAAGATGGATAAGAAAGGACAGAATTCAAAATGAATACATATGAGGGAACTTAGGGGTGGCTCCAATAGGCAATAAAATGTGGGAAAGTAGAATCAAGCCATATGCAATGTAGACTTAGTACAACACCGTTAAGAGGGGCGAAGGTTCAAGTGGGAGGCTCTAGAAGCGGAAAAAGAAGGCCTAAAAGGGCATGGATGAAAGTAGTGAGAAGAGATATCGTGACTTACGGTTTGACTAAGAGTATGACCCATGATAGAGCAGAATGACGAAACAGGATTCAAGTAGCCTACCCCAAATAGTTGGAATAGGGCTCGAATGATGATGATGATTGATGATGACGATGACGATGATCATGATATATAAATAAATAAAAAAGGAACACTTTAGGGTGCCCTAGTATCTATGCGCCCGCCTCCATTTTTTGAACATTGCATAAAACAAAAACAATAAATGAAAGAATAAGAAATCATAACACATTTGACACAAAAATTCCAAACCCTAATTTGAGATTTCGTAATGCACCAACTTTTTCAAAATGAAATCAATGTAGGCCCAAATCAGTGACCTTTGGTTGCCAAAAGTTCTCTTCTGTGACCACTCCAAGCTCAAAAAAATATCTAGAAGTACATCTTTCTATTTTGCAAGAAATTGAAAATGTTGAAAATTTTTCGATTTTGAAAAAAAAAGAAAAATCTAAAAATCTAAGTTTTGGGAGAGTTTTTATCTCTCTAAAACATGAAAAAGGGGTTTTTGGAAAACCCTTTTCCCCATTTTTAGCAGGGGAAAAATACCTAAAATACCCTTGGCCATGGGCCTATATCCATCCTCAGCCAGCCTGCATCGAGGCACCACCTAAGCGCCCGCCCACCCGCCTTAAGGAGAGCGCCAAGGCCGACAACTAGATGCACGCCTGCCTAGGGAACCCACCTAGTGCGCAACTAGGTATTCTCATTTCCTTGCTGCCTAGGGCAGCTCCTATGTTTTACCCAAAGTTTAAAAAAATGCTAGGCGGCCGGCCTGGCGCCCGATGCCCAGCACCTAGGTAGGCACCCCGTAGTACAAGTTCTATATATATATATATATATATATATATGTGTGTCAATTTTGTAATTTATCGCATTTTAAAATATTGTATTATTATAAGATATTTTTTTATATACAAACATATGACATATCGCAAGTTGAGAACAAAGTCGTTCAAAATTCAAACCATAAAAAATTTAAAAGTCTAATAGGATATGTATTAGTAATAGTCTCCAACTCTCCATATTCCATAATAAGTGAAAAATGTTAGGAAGCTTCTTCAAACCACAAAAAATATTTTTGATTCTCAAAAATAGGTATAGCTAAGAGATTAAGGGTTTATGGAATTGTTCTTTTAATTTTAGGGGTTGAAAATAAACATTTTTGGGGGGATCAAAATTACCCCTTTTTCCCTTTTGATATCTATAAAAAAAAAAGAAAAGAAAAGGCCCATGTCCCTGGGCACCCGCCTAGCCGGCCTAGGTACATCCGCCTGTGTAGGGCCGCCTGGGTGTGGGCACGCGGTATTTTGGTTTTCCCTTTACAAAAAAACATTGGTTTTCCCTTTACAAAAAATCATTTTTACTTAAGCTTGTGCCAGTGTTTAAAGACTCCCTGAATCCCTAGTCCATGCCAAGTCTTAATTGAGTGTTAGGAAATAAAGTGAATATTCTAAATAATATCCAAGTTTTATAAGACTCGGTGAGGTGAGTCATACGAGTATTGAGCTAAGTTCGAGTTCTTAACCATTGGCCATAAACTCAAAAAAGCCTCTGAGTTGATCATTCTTCCATGTTTTCAAGTCAATTACCAGCAACACAGTAAAATACCACCACTCAATTACCAGCAACACAGTAAAATACCACCACTCAATTACCAGCAACACAGTAAAATACCACCACTATCATCTCTAGAGAGACAAGGTCAAACCCAGCTGCTCTTGGTTTATTCCTAGATTAACACACTTCCTTCAAATTAATCAGCGAACCATTTAGAACTTCTCTTTTTTGTTCTGTTTGCACTAGACTTTTCATTATATTTAATGGAACGATCAAATAATGTGAAATATCTATTTAAAAAAAAACCATCATGTCCTAGTCATACAAACCTTGAAAAGTCCACCTTGAACAAGAGCAAAGAAAAGCCCGGATGTAATGACATTGGCTGCCTGATTTGGACCCCCCATGCCACTGACTAATGAGAACATAGCCCCAGAACCAAAAGCAGCCACCATACTGCAGATTGGTTCAATATAAGCAGTTGTTAAGGTCACATTTCCAAGCAATTTGCAAAGTAGTAACAAGCTTAATTGTCAGTCCAATGAGCATTTCCACAAAAATTAACTTGAAGTAGGGAACATGTTACATAGCAAAGGTATATGTACACATGCTCCAGCATGCAAGCATAAAAAACAATGTACACTAAGTATGCAATTTAGATATAATATACTCTGTATATATTCCATGTGGAACGAAACATAAACAGGGATTTGTTTTACAATGAATTCTAAAGATAATTTCCTAACACAATGCTTATTTTGTTTCTGGATAAATTCCTAATGGAATTAAATTAATTAAAGAGAGGCTCAAAAGGTGCAGCCCATGAATGGAACATTTCTTGATTATCAGATTCTTAAAACCATGGCAAAGGACAGCATTAAACACCAATGGGAGAAACAGTTAAAACAGTAACATAAGGCATACCTAGACTGCACATCCTCCACCCCACGAATTCGTTTCATGACACAAGATATCCCTGCATTTACACCTGTCATGACCGCAAAGTTACGAGCTTGCACAAGAGGACCACCTGTAAGAGCCTGCATATATCACATTATTAACCTTATTCTTCTATTGGATACTGGAATTAACCATATGGCATTAAGAACAATACACTTTGAAATGATATCAATTTCTTGAAAGCAGTAGATATCATTGAGATTCTTTTCTTTATGCGCAGATCAAAGATAACACTATTGTTCCCTTGCCATTAGAAGGTAGAAGTGAATGAATCGACACATAAGCAGCAGAAATGGGAAATATGATATTACTTCTTAGTAGAGGCTGTGAAAGTGGGACATACAGGCAAAAATTTCAGAAGGAAAGAACTTCAAATATTCTCTAGTGCGGTGTATGCATCTTTAAAAAATCAATAAATAGATCCTTTTAAGCATTTCTATCCTTAATTCATAGACGATAATGTATTACAGTAGTCTAATAGCATAAAACTAGTCGAATCTCTTGAAAGCAATATATGTTGATTGAGATGAATACTGCAATAAATCAATTGCTTCATACAATAGATACCGAGCTTAGAATATGATAAAATCAAATAGGATTAAATCAATGCAAGCTAAGAGATATTACTGGAGATTCAATATGCTTTTAGCTATCAATATGTCACCAATATTGCCACCTTGCAAATAACCAGTCTAAAATAAAAGAGAGAAAAATTCACCATGAATCATTTATATCCACAAAATTTGCAAATTATAACCCAAAAAATCATATTCTTGCAGAAATAGACATCACTGAGCAAGAAACCAGAGAGAAGACAGAGATGCAACTATAGAGGAAAAAGGGCCACGCTTCCTGGGGCTTACCTGAGCTTGTTTGAGAGAAGCCATGGCCTGAGGGTTAAGCCCAGCCTGAGGAGCAGTGGGAAGAGAAGAAGTAGCATCAGCAGTTAGGGTTCCCATGAAAGCTCCAATGGCCGCCCCTTGCGCCGCACTTGTCACAGTAACAATGGCCGCCTCGACTGGCAAAGACTGCTTCGAAAGCCATGTCTTAAACCCTAACTCAAGCTCCTTCAACTTCGTCTGAACCTGAGCAATAGGACCAGGAGGAGGAATGGCCTTTGTTATCTCGACCATGCTTTGCCTGCCCTCCATTAAAGAGCAGAAGAGGGGGAGTTCTCAAGCTCAGAAGAAGGACCAAAAATGGCGATTAAGGTTTCATAGGCCAAACTATAATAAGAGAGCCTGAAACCAGAGAAGACTAGAAGAGGAGGGTTTATCAGAGTACACCAGAGGACGAGGTCGTGTCATGCCATAGGGTTTGAAAATTTCAGTTAAATTTCGGCGAAATTCGGTCTTGCCTTCCTGGGTTTGGCTCCTTCCTGCGGGGGTCTCACAGTTGGTGGACTGATTGCATTTAAGGGGTTAAAATAGGGATTGCGTATTAGCAGACAATGAACGATTGCTTCATGCGGGCTGGATTCTATTTGTACAAAATGTGGACTCCATTTGTACAATATGCGGTCTAGAGGTATTAAGCATCCATCTTTAGGTGGTTTATCTAAAAACAATTGAAATTAATGGTCCAATAAAATTATTATTTTTTATTTTTAAATTTTATTTATTTATTTTTATTCATGATCTCTATGTTAAACATTATATATTCTCTAAAAATTAGGATCAAATTTTATTTCAAAAATAAATTTATTAAAGAACCTACATTTCTACATGTGCAGGCTTGGTTGCATGCTAACCGCGTCCAAAGCCTATTTATATTAGGAAATTTGTGGCCCACGCCCTAGTTTTTCAAGCCAGGCCGGGTCGCCTGGCCCATTGCCATAACTACTTTAGCAATAGGAGTGACCTTTCCACATTTTACCTTGTGTCGTTTTTTCGGAACCAGCATTGTGGGTTGCCTAAGTGCCCACACTTTTTGATACTCGATACGTTACACCAGCTCATCAGAATGGTGTTGTGGTGATATCTAATGAATTTTGCCGGGGTTTAAGTTTATGATGCCCCAGGAAATTTATCAAAATATCCATGAGAACTGAACTATTCAATACTTACCTAGTTGCAACTATTCACATTCCCGATCATGTGTCTTTTCATAGGTATTTTTAAAAGGACCTGGTTTTTATGCGGCCATACCCGCATATGTACAAATGTGGACCTATTAATAAATCTATTTTTGAGATGGAGTTTTGGACTTAATTTTTAAGAACATGTAATCTCTAACATGGAGATCACGAATATGAAAATAAAATAAAAAAATTAAAAGTTAGAAATAATAATTCTAATAAGAAAAATTTGGACGGTTAGTTTCTGTTGTCTTCATGTTGAACACCTACTTGCATCTATATTTAAGATTGATGCTTTACACTTTTTGGACCGCATCTATAGTCATGAGGTCTAGCCCACATGAAATAATTTTCTTTTTAAAATTAATCAAAAGATATGGTAGATCAGCCCACATAAAACAATTTTCTTTTTAAAATTAATCAAAAGATATGATAGATCATTGATGGTCAAATAGCTGATCTCTCATAAGTATTTGAATAAATTGCCGTAAAGATTTTGATTAGCCTGCCTAGTATTAGCTTTAACTGTACTCGATGATTGAGAAGAAGGAATCAACATGCCTCATAAATGTTAGCTAACTAGTATTGACCATGTTCAATGGTTGGGCGCAATGTGTGGCTAACTTCTTTTAATGGTAACATATCAATAACTTTTTTTTCTTTTTTTTTTGTCAAATTTCAAATATATTATTACCATCGTCAAAGCTTTTTTTTAACTTTTTTGGGTCGGCTACATGAACCCTAATCCACCATTCTGCTTTACCAAGACCATACCCTTGGTGCAATAATATATTCAAATCAATATTTCAAAACCCGAACCAGTGAGGTGGATCTCCACTCATATATTCATGTCAGATAACAAGATCAAGGATCCAGATCAGTGCGAATTAACCTGAATCAGTGATCTAAAAACTATTTTTAAAAAATAAAAATCAAATAGGAGTTTTGGTGGTGATAATTAAGGGGAAACCTAAGAAAATATTAAATAATTTTTTAAAAAAAATGATTTTTTTTTTTTTCTTCATTTGGATCGTTGGGTTTTTCACTTCATTTAAGTTTTGGGTCTAAAACGAAGACTTTGCCCAATCAGCAAAAGAAAAGCGACACTGATAACATTGGTTTCTATTTTATTAGTTAGGCCATGCAGATTTGAGGAAAAACAAGATGTATCTCATCTTCCAAGAAAAGCAATTTCTTCACACATAATTGTGAATAGTTTGGATTTGAGATGATGATCTTCGTGTGAAAATCTGCTAGATCTAAATTAAGGAAAAAACTTCGAACCACAAATACTAACTCAAAAAATGAATACAATATCAGTACACAAATGAAGGAGAACAATGTTGTTCTACTAGCATAATATAGAGATTATCCAAGCACACTTAAAAGACAAGATCTTATCCTAGTTCCACATGTCATTTGAAACCAAAAATATTTCAACCAAAAATATTTCTAAGGGACAAATCAATCGGCAAAATCCATCACGTTTTTCTTTTAGTGCTTGGGCTTGTTGCAGGTCTTTGGCTTTTTCACGATCATCACAGTGCAATGAGCATGGTGAGCACAATAATCACTCACACTCCCCAAAATGGCCCTACAAGCATTACAAGAAAAAAAAATATCTCTGAGCCCCAAAAAAATTTGTTGTTTTCTTATCTTTTTATTAATAAATTCGAAGACCAATAACTTGTTTATTCAAACCTCAAAAGAATATGATAGTTAATCGGAATTTACTCGGAAAGAGAGATCTATGCAGTCAAAATGCATTGGAAATTGGAACACAATTGACATGAGTTTTTCACATACAAAAAAGAAGATGGAATAGGGGAAAGAGATACATGACCATTGAAAGTTTAAGAACTTCAAGCAATGTTAAACTGTAAAGACTGCCCAGATTCAGAATAGGGAAATTTATGCTAGAAATTTGCAGTGCTCAAAGCAAGACTCAAATGCATGGACATTAAAAACTTAGTAATCCATCCATTGGTATGCAAAACATGAAAATCACATACAAAAGAAACATGCAAAACTCAAACTTACAAAAAAGGGAAGGTAAGGGTGCGGGGAAGATGAGAGAATTTTCAGGCAAACCTTTTGAAGGCGCCATAGCCATGGCTGCCGAGGACCAACATGTCAGCTTGGTGCTTCTCCACAGCCTCACACAATGCACTTCTAGCATCCCCTTCTACAATTTCCACATCGAAGTCCTTTACCTATCCCCAAGAATTCCACAAAATCCCTTCATTCAGTGACCAAGCTTCATCTTAAAAACACCAAATGCTAACTCAGATATTTGCTGGGTGGTTTGTTATTTAAGAAAAAGAAAAAAAGAAAAAAAATAATAAGAAGAAGAGATAATTGGAGGAGTTTATTTTTTTCTTTTTTCCCTAGGGAAATTTATCAAAATACACCTAACTTTTCAACAATTTCACAATATGCAATTTTCAACTATTCCAACTCATGGTCACGAGTATTTTGATGTGTATTTTGAAATAAAATAAAAAATATAGATAAAATGTCGAATAATTTATATGATGAATATCTCTTTTTCTTTTTGCCTAAGGTTTTTTTCCTTTTTTTGTTCTTTTATTTTGATAACTAGAAAATATATTTTTTTGGGGAACAGGTGGTAAAGAGCATCTGTCACGCTCTTTCATCAACGAACAACAATCATTAGATTCACCATTCAACTAAAAGAGAAAGAAAAAGAAAAAAAAAAGAAAGAAAGAGTTTAAAGCTTCATTTGGACAATAAATTATTGGACTTACCATACACAAAATAAATCCACAAAATAAATCCATGAGTTTTAAATTCCTTGTTCCTAATCATGCGGTACACTCTCAAGGTTCGATCTATTTATTTTCTTTTGGCAATTAAACAATGAACTATGCATAGGAAGTCAGGAGGAATCATATAACTACATGAAACAAATCATCAATTAAAAACTGAAACTTTTTAAGTGAAAAAAAGAAAAGAAAAACAGATAGTGTTTTTCGATATCCTTTGATGTTCAAGGAATTAATTCTCACTGATTTTTTATGACAGAGCTCCTTTGCCTTCCCGACAACGGAACATGCCGTCTTCTTTATATCCGCTTCCACAATTGGCAACACATCGCCCATCCCTGTTATGAATTCACCAATTCACATTTCATTAACTATAATCTTCCAGGGTACTTACTACAACAAAAAAAAGGGTGATTGATTCCCTGAAATAACAAGGAAAAGTATCACTGCATTTTGAAGTGAAAATATCACGTTTATTTTGAAGTAAATAATTATTTCTTTGAAAGAGAAATATCACATTTGTTTTGCTGATTGTATTTGACATTTGCATGTAATCCATGATGTTGTCGAAAAACCACACTAAAATTTGCCCTCTCTCTCTCGAGCCACACTAAAAATTTGGAGTACTGAATTCTAGGTTTGCAGTGTGTTCTAGAATAATTCATA